TGCTGATCTCTAAATAAAAAGTTGGTCCTTGGATCTCTTCTTCTTCTTATCTACAGTCACCCTTTTGGTGATCTTGGCCAGTCTCTTCTTCCTAAATGAGTTCTTTTGTAGTCTTCCTCATGCGTGTCCTCTGGCCACAGTCAACTGCAGGTAGATCACATTGGTCTCTGGTTTCCATGTCAAGAGGGCCTCACAAAGGGGACAGCCTGACCAACATGGAGAAATCCCATCTCTACTAAAAATACAAAATTAGCCGGACATTGTGGCACATGCCTGTAATCCCAGCGACTCAGGAGGCTCAGGCAGGAGAATCACTTGAACTCGGGAGGTGGAGGTTATGCTGAGTCGAGATCGCACCATGGCACTCCAGCCTGGGCAACAAGAGCGAAACTCCGTCTCAACAGCAGCAGCAACAACAACAACAACAAAAGAATTGGGAAGGTTTCCATGATAAATGCCATGGAGACTTCCTTATCAATGAAAAATGTTTCTCTTTCTCTGCCTCGTGAGCCCGTTCCTGCCTAAGCTGAAATTCCTATTATATCCTTGCCTGAAGGATATACCACACACCCCAGGTAAACCCATTTTCTTCATGGTTCACCCCTCCCTGCCTCCGGACTTGAACTAGAGTCAGATCCCCACATGTCCTGGCAGGTGGGGCATGGGAAAACCTGATAAGAAACATAAAACACACCCCAAGTCTGAAAGGTGCTGCTTGTTTGTGGTCACAATCTGGTGAACATACACAGGAATGGATTCTTAAGGTCCTAGACCAAGGACAGAAAGCTGAAGTAGAGTTTGGCTAACAGGGGTGTGCTTTCTTAAAATTTGGGTTTAGTCTATAAAGTCGAACAGCTGAAGGAAGTACTCACAGTTTGCTCAACTGGTAGTCCATGCAAAGTGAAGATGAAATACCAGAAATTAGTTCAATGTAATGGAAGACTTGGAGGAACAGGAATATTGGAATGGATTGCTTAATATATGATCTGCTCGCCTTCCTCCTGATATGGAAGGACTCATCAGAGACTTCTTTTTCCAAGACCGTGAGAGGTACATTGGTGAGGAAGAACCATCATCTCAATTACTGGAAAGTGCAGGAAGTGGTTTGGACCTTCGGTCCCAAGCTCAGAGTTAGGGAAACTTCTCAGTACATGGCTGTATTAGTCCATCCTTACACTGCTGTAAATACCTGAGACTGGGTAATTTATAAAGAAAAGAGGCTTAACTGGCTCACAGTTTGCAGGCTGTACCGGAAGCATAGCTGGGGAGGCCTCAGGAAACTTACAGTTATGGCAGAAAGCAAAGGCGAAGCAGGCACATCTTCACATTGCTAGAGCAGAAGGAAGAAGAGAGAAGGGGGAGATTAAACACTCTTTTAAACACCAGATCTTGTGAGAACTAATTCACTGTCATGAGAACAGCAAGGGAGAAATCCACCCTCATGATCCAATCACCTCCCACCACGCCCCACCTCCAACATTGGGGATTACAATTTGACATGAGATTTGGGCGACAACCCAAATCCAAACCTATCAGTGGCACACGTCTATCATCCATCTGCTGAAGGAGGAAGCAAGAGGAAGCTGTGTAGTGCCCCCTACCTGACAAAACCATAAATGCAATTAATACAATGTCTCCAGAGGAATCCCAAGAATTAGGGCCACCAGCAAACACCGTAAGGACGGAGAAGTGGTAATTTTGATATCACCAAATGCTACCTTAGGTAGATGGGTCTCAGGCCGTCAGTGGTTCATTGTAAACTTAAGTGATTCCGATTACAGAAGCTGTTCCCAATGCGGCCCAAATGCTCATTTTCCCAGCAGCAGTGGCAAACCCTGGTTTCTAGATGTGCTGGCAGAGCCCAGAGGTTCAAATTATTCACTTGGTGGCAAGTTGATTGTAGTGAATGCCTTACATGCTTGAGAAGGCAGCAGTCTGGCTTTTATGGAATACGGTGGATGCTTATCCTGGAGAATGGCTGGAGAGGAAAGCAATACATACAGACCCTAACCTCATGACCTATTACTACAATGAGCACTGTACCTGTCTGTATTTTCTTACTGACTTTGCTAATTTATTTCATTTTCTGCCCACCCCATTACTTTCTATGTGTGTGTTTTGGGTGAACATTATCATTTACTCCATAGAAAACAGGATTTCAAGATGGCTTCAGTGTCAGGATTAGAGCAAGAATAGAATTAGAGCAGGAGGCTGGACTTGGAGCTGGATGGTCACTGGTGAGACTTGGGATTCTATCCCTGTGGAATTAGGGTGGGGATAGGGGAGCCTTTTTTGCTTGTGTGAGGAATGGTTACATTCTGTTAGGTTCTGTATTTGTCTGTTTGGGATCCACTATGTGCAGAGCCAAACTAACAGCCAGCATTGTTTATATCTCCCCTGCAACCAGCTTTTGCAGGTGCACTAAAGTTATAGTACAAGCCCTCTGCCCAATCTTGACTCAGTATCTCCAACAACCCCGTTTGTCTAATTCTCACACACTGAGCCAATATTCCTCCTGCTCCAATTCACCTCAGAGCCAGGTACTGGGCAATCACAGACCACCCCTATAGCCCAGAGCCCACCAAGATTATTCAAACTATCTCATCGCAAGCTGCTTCCTTGCACTGCCCTGGCTTTCCCGGGAAACCTCATGAAGGCTCGGGGCCAGGCTTCCCGCATTGTGCCCTCCACCTCCTGACACTCCCTGGTGCTGCTCTGTGTGGCCCTGCGGGGATGTGCCACCCCTCCTGTTTCTAGGGATCTGTGAGTATAAACTCCTTCCTTTATGACAGTCACTTATGTGTCTGCATGTCTTACCACACCTGATTAAACATTTTTTTCAAGGTGTGATGATGAAAATTTGAGTGTGCACTGATATTAGGAGCCAAAGAGCTAGATTTCGGGTGTGGGAGGGGGGCTTTCCAGCATTGAAACAACTTTCAAATATTTCAGGAATGTCCCCCCTCTTGAAGTGGGCAGAGCCCACCTTCCACATAGAAGCTCAAAACCCCATATTCCTACTTCCTTGGCCTTCCTGGCATCTGGTTTGGGAGCACATGCTTTAAATCAGATGGATCTGTTTCGACTTTTGTATGCAGAGCTAGTGACACAAAGGAGCAGGGCTGGAGGAGAATTAACTGTGGCAGCAGCGGCAGCAGCAGGGACGGCTGCTTCCAGGGACAGCAGTGACAGCGGCACCCGTGATGGTGCCAGGTTCTCATGCAGCTCTGTAGCAGCAGGACCCACCACGCTGGCTGGGGGTCAAAGGCTTCCCTCTTCTTCCTGCTCTCCAAGCAGCCCCTCCAGCTTTCTAGGTACTTCTGTGGACCACCCGTTTTCCCTCAATAAAACCATTCTCCACTTAAAGTAAATGGTAGGTTTTATTGCTTGCAACCAAGAATCCTGATGGATACGATCTGTGATTTTCTTTTCTTTTCTTTTTTCTTTTCTTTTCTTCCTCCCTCCCTTCCCTCCTTTCCTCCTCCCTTCCCTCCCTCCGTCCCTCCCTCCCTCCCTCTTTCCTTCCTTCCTTCCTTTCCTTCTCTCCTTCCTCCAGTCTCCAGATGGAAAAAACATACATCTAACTTTATATATGTAAATATGGTGAAATATTAACATTTATTAATTATGAATAGTGGAAATATGAGTGTTTATGGTTTTTTGGTATTTTATGTCTTTTAATTCTCTCAAAAGATGATCCTAACAATCGCATGCACATGTGTACACACAATGCATGTGTGTGTTTGTGTTTATTTGTGCTAATTGACTCCTCATAGTGAATCTATGAGGCGGGAGCCCTTGTTCACATCTTCTTTTTATATCTGAGGAAACTGAGGCATAGGAGGCTGAAGAGGCCTGTCCCAGATTATGCAGCTGTTTAAGAGCAGAGCTAGAAATTCAATCTCAGCAGTTTGTGGCCGGGTCAGGTCCAGGACCTTTGCTTTTAACAAAATAAGGGAGAAGAGCTAGCAAGTAGCTTGAGGGAAAGGCCGAAACCAAATAGTGTTTTTAGGATTGGAGATAAGCTTAGTTAGGCGCTGAAGGGAACGAACAAGTGGGGAGGAGAGGGAGGGTCTGAGAAAGCCCGGGCTGTTAATAGATGGGGTGATGTCAAGATCACAGCGGGCCAGGATTCGCCATACACCAGAGGAGACAGGAGTCCTGATCTGATGCTGGAGAAAAGGAGGCTTCTCTGGAAAATCAAAGGCAAGGTCACCTGCAAGGAGGCTGAGGGGGTGAGAGGGAAGCAGCCACACTGGGTGGCCACGCGAGTGACTGGTTGTCCTCTAGGGTGGTGGGGGGAGGGGTCTCACAGGGGAGGAGGGCAAGGAGAGAACCATAGGCTGACTGGCCAGCAGCTCTGTCCTTACTCCAATTTTTCCGATGCTATTTACTGACTTAGCAGGTAAATACTTTCCAAGGTTCTTCAAGTTCTTTACAGCTGGGCTTGTTCCAAGGCTGGAATTTGTGAAGTGGATTCCTCATTTCAAAACTCTACTGCTATATTGACAGACAGACCCAGGACCCAGGACCCAGAACCTGTGTTTGCATTCAGGGGCCCCAGGCAGTGATCCTGACTCAATAACATATTGAGCCCACATTTCCCTCCAGGTACCCTCATATTTCTCTCTTTTAAAGGGAAAGTCTGTGAGAGAATTGTTTCTACTTTTTATCACTTAGCCTTCTTGGCCCATTCACCCCTGAACTCATTGAAATCATACTTTTGTCTTTACTCCGTGCTGAAAGTCGTCTTGCCAACGTCCCCCAAAAACCTCTACATGGCTAAATCCACAGGACAATGGAAGTCCTCGTGGCACCTGATTTATCAGCAGTCTTTGGCCCAGCTGCTCCTCTCTCTTCCTTAGCAGGCTGTCTCTAGGGGTCTGGAGAGCAGGGAAGGGAGCATCGTGGTGACTGGACAGAGGGAGGGCAGAGCTGCCACTGTCCCCATCGGACACAGGCTGGAAAGTCACAGGCTCCTCCTCCTTCCCCTCCAGAGAGGCTGTGTGTGTGTGTGTGTGTGTGTGTGTGTGTGTGACAGAGAGAGAGAGAAAGCGGCGTGAGCCTGTGTGCTTGTGTGCTGAGTGCTGAGCCCTCATCCCCTCCTGGGGCCAGGCTTGGGTTTCACCTGCAGAATCGCTTGTGCTGGGCTGCCTGGGCTGTCCTCAGTGGCGCCTGCATGAAGCCGCTCTGGCTGCCAGAGCTGGACAGCCCCAGGAAAACCCACCTTTCTGCAGAGCTTGCCCAGCCGTCCCTGGGAAGCCAACTGCCTCTCACGTAAGTCCTCCGCTCGACGGGGTGTCTCGAAACCCTCACTCTTCAGCCTCTGTTTGACCATGAAATGAAGTGACTGAGCTCTATTCTGTACCTGCCACTCTATTTCTGGGGTGACTTTGTCAGCTGCCCAGAATGTCCAAGCCAGGCTGGTTCTCTGAATCCTTTGAATGACCTGTCTTCTTCTGTAACCCCAGGTAAGAAAGGTGCCCAAGCCTTATGTTGGGGGTGGCGTGCATGTGGAGAGATTGTGGATGTGGGGTCAAAGAAATACTAGCAGTTTCTGGGTACTCAGGAGGGGGTTATGTCGGAATGCTGGATGTCACCTGCTCCTAGAAATATTTTAGTCTCCTGGTTGTCCCTGCTGGGGTTGTCCACAGCCGGGTGACGATGAACACCTCCTGGCTAGGATAGCTAGCCCAGTCTCAGGAATAGTGGCTTTATTATACTGTATCTGCTCCTATGTCTTTATTACTGCTGTCCGTTCTTTTGTTCATTTATTTATTCATTCAGTAAATTGTCTGTGTACTTTAAAAGGGCTAAAAGACACCAATGCTATTTACTCACTTAGAAGGCAAATACCTTCCAAGGTTCTTCAAGTTCTTTACAGCTGGGCTTGTTCCAAGGCTGGCGTTTGTGAAGTGGATTCCTCCATCAGCTGGTGTGGTAGTTCAGATGACCTTCCAGATCCCACCCAACCTTGAGATGTTAAACTTCTGTGATTGAGCAAAGCAGATATAAAAGCTAGAAATATACTCTCTAGCCCCGAAGCACCTCTAGTGAATTTATGGGAAGGAGAAACAGTACCAGTTTCTCTAATGGAGGGGCTTCTTTGGGAGTGTAGTGTTGCCAGTTGTGAAAAAGCTGAGACCCGTATGCTTGGGGAGGTTCTGGACGGTAGAAAGGAACCAAATGGGATGGAAGCAGCCTTTCAGGAGAAGGAAGTATTAGTAAAAAGAGGAGAATGTGGGCTGGTGTGTGGGAAGTTGAAAACAGCAGTAGTAGAACCATGGGCAGGGAAGTGAGCTCAAATCACCTTGACTTCCATAGAACCAGGATTCAAGCAGGCTAGAGATGCTGCAGTGAGTGTGGGGGTGGGGTGGGGGTGGCTGGCACTGGTGTACATGAGCAGCGACACAAGCCCAATGGGGACACTGATGTCCGAGCACTTTACATATGCAATCTCTTTTACATAGGCTTCTCTGTACACCCCATTCACCTAGACCCACTTTACAACTAGGGACCTCATTCCATTCTCTCCTCTTCCCCAAATCTGCCAATCCAGCCACTTAGAGGGTCAAAGTGTGCAGCTCTTTTTCTTTTGACATCTTTCTAACCAGAGGTGGAAGTTCCCTCTAATTACTGTCAATCACCTGGAACAATTCCTCCTTTCGTTTCCAGTGATAAATTAAATGAAATGATACAGTGGACTCATCACAGGGGGTGCAGATTTGAGGCATCTTGCTAGGAATACATCGTCTAGAGTCACTGCATCTTATTTGCACATTCTTCTGGGGGGTCCCGGGTGGCTCTCCTTGGATCTCTACATGATGCAATTTTAGTATGCCTGGATTCCTATCCTCACTAATGGAGAAAAAAAATCTCCTTTTTAAAAAATGCACTTGGTTAAAAGGTGAAACACATGATAGCTTTGGAATTTGCAACGATGATATTGGTTGGCTGGATAAGAAAGTGAATCTGCACTAGAGGAACCTTCTAGAATCTGGGATCCAGGTGGACCTAGCTTTGGGGTGAGGTGCCTGTTCCCTCTCCTCACTTGTCCTCAACAGACCTCAGTCCTGATGGTGGCTTAACAATGACAGACACAGTGCTAGGGTCTACAGAACACAGGTGAGTACTGGCTGAGTTGCTTATATGAAATTGCCCCCCTAGTTAACACCACATTATAATTTATCGCATTCTAGTTTCGAAGCTAAAGATCTTAACTTGAATCTCAGCTTCATCACTTTTTATCTACATGGCTTTGGTCAACTTCTCTGCATATCAGTTTTTTTCTTTTTTTACTTACATGAAAAGGATAATAATATCTCTTCCCCACACCCTCCTAGGGGTCATGTGAGGCCCAAATAGGTCAAAACTGCAAAAGTACTTTGTAAATCTGAAAAAAACATAAATGCATGGTGTTCTTAGGAAGACCTTTTAGGAATTAACATCAGGGGGGATTCTGAAATCCTCTTTCCCTGCACCAAATCAGCCCTGTGTTCTAATATCTAGCAAAAACTTTATGCCTGTATGAAAGTAGACATAAGCAATGGAATTTCACAACTCTTCTTTATTTTAACTAGCAAATGAAACTTCTAGATGGCACTGAGTCACATGTAAATGGGCATGAGATCTTTGAGGATCTTAAATCCTCCAGGGTAGAAAGGATGAAAGAGACAAAAGACAAGGAACCAGAAAGGCATCTTTGTGATTATCAGGTGTTTGAATGACTGTGGAGAGCAGAGAAAAAAACCTCACCTCCTCCGCAGTTTCCCCTGGGAATTAACGAAATTTAATCTCTGATGACAACACTAGGGTCTCTAAACTCAAGTCAACCCAACTCAAGCATCTCTCAGATGCTTATGCAGATTCAGACTCCGGGAAGAGCTTCCCAATGTGGAGAGTTGTAAAAAGCCGGGAAAGGATGCCTTGGGGAACTTGGGACCTCCCTGGATGGCTTTGGAAGCAATGGGGCTAAATGAATAAAATCATGCCCCACATTAGGGGTGGATGAGTGGATGAGACTCTAGCATTTTCCTTCCTTTTGGTTCTTCTCTATTCAAGTTTACTCAGTTCCCTGTCCCTGGTGCCTGGCACACTGTTGGCCCTGATGGAGAATGAGGCAGTACATTCTCTTACAGTCCAAGCGTGAAACAACAACAATACAAAATGAATGAGGTAGTGGAAAGATAAACAAAGAAAAGAGTCAACAATCACACTATGAGTGCAAATGTTTGATGCCGTGCTGCTCCCCAAATTAAGTGACAAGCCTTGGTCTCCTTCTTCAGGCTCTCGGAGCCCTCCTCCCGCCCTGGGTACCTTTTGCAGGTGGCTCTGAATACGTGGAACCCACAAAGTGGGCTGGGATTTTGCTTGGGGCTGGAGGGAAGAGGTGAATAAGATACAGTGGTCACCCTTAAGGAGCGACCGCACGACAGGGAGTTCCACTTTTCTCTGAAAGCCCCCATTTGACCTTTGAGATCAATGTGGTGATCCCATTTCCCGGGCCTCAGCCCTAAGGTGATTCCAGATGAACACAGCGGACTTTTAAACAAATTATTATTGTGGTAAAATATGCATAACATAATTTACCAGTGTAACCATTATTAAGTGTATATAGTTCATCGTGTTAAGAACATTCACATTGTTGTGCAGACATCACCACTGTCCATCTGCAGATTTTTTTCATCATCCCAAACTGAAACTCTGCACCCATTGAACAACAGCTCCTCACTCCCCTCCCCCTAGCTCCTGGCACCCCCCTATGCTACTTTCTGTCTCTATGAGTTTGACTATTCTTGGAACCTCCTATAAATGAAATCACAATGTCTTTGTCTTTTTGTAACTGGCTTATTTTACTTAGCATAACATCCTCAAGGTTCATCCGTGTTGTAGCATGGATCAGAATTTCTGTCCTTTTTGAGGATAAATAATATTCCATTGTATGGATAGACCACATTTGTTTAACCATTCATCTGTCGCTGGATACCAGAGTTGCTTCCACTTTTTACACAGCTGATTGATGAACTGCACTGCATTCCAATGGAAGAGTGGAGTCAAATCTACAGAGTTTGGGTGAGCTCCTGCTGCTGTGAGATGAGGGGAGGGTGCGTAAAACACACCACAGGTATTGCTGTCCACTTGAAAATTATTCTGATATTAAGTAACCGATACCTGCTGATAGTGGGAAATTTGGAAAATGCAGAAAACTGTCAAAAAGAATAATATTCATCTCTAATTCCTGTGCCCAGAGATAACACAGGTGATCTATTTATATGTAGAAAAGAGATTAAAAGAGAAAAGAGCAAGATGGTAATGCTAGCCCTCTCTGGTAATCAGGTAGTTGTGCTGTTTCCTTTGCAGTGGTCTGCTTGGGGGAAGTCCCCTGGGGACAAGCCCCTGCACCTTCGAGGGCCAGAGATCCCAGACCCTGCCACTGCGGTTCACGCGAGCCATAGAAGCTGCTGATGCCCAGGCTGGGGTGGGTGCTGTACAAGCATTCTGCATAATTTGCAGGGCGATGTGAGTTTACACATTATGTAAAGCTGCACTCCTGAATGAGAGATCTTGTGGGGCTGGGTATATCAGGCCTATCTGTGGAGAAACTTCCCACTGCCAGGACTCCCTGCTTCTCCCCCATGGAGGCACCGTTCTGGGAGAGCTTTGGGAGGCTCTCTTGGGCAGCTTATTCCATGTATTGGGAACCGCCAGCCTTTTCCACCTGCCAGCTGGGGATTTTCAGAGCCAGGTAGGAACCAGGAACCTCTAAGACTGGGACAAAGTGAGGAATCCCAGGGCAGGATGGGGTGCAGGGTGGCATGGAAGATAAGGGCAACTGGTGGACAGGGGCAATATTCTCCCAAGGGAACAGAAGAAAAATGTAATCCTCTATTTTCAACAAGTCTTTGAATTGAAACCTTCTGGGGAAATTGATTCAGGAGGGCCCTTTTCCCCCCAGACACTCTGGTGTCTGTGCTATAGTCAGTATACGACAGCAATTCCAACACATCAAATCCTGCCCACATTCCTCTTCTCCGACTTGACACAAACTGTCATTGTGCGATGCCACTGGATCATGGGCCCTGACAATCACAAGAGCAACCTGTTCCCTGATCAGCCCTCTGCAGTTCCCCAGGGACTTTCATGGACACAAATGACCCCGTTTGCTCCCGCCACTCCTCCCACAGGGCAGAAAGTGTTTGATCTTTATCTTAAGACAAAATCCCAGGGGGATTGAGTGACCTTTCACAGATCACCACCAGCCAGTGGTGGGGCCAGGACTCGAAGCCACGTTTGCCAGCACCAGCCCTGCTCTCATCTCCTGCCAGGAGGGTAGGATGGGTTGGTGCAACAGGCCCTGGGAGAGATGGAGGATTAGTGATGCCAGAAACACTGTTGAGAGGCTGGGTCAGGGTGGGCAGGAGGATGAGAATGACCAGATAAAAGTGGTTTCATAACTCCATGAATAATAATTCTGATTCTCTCATACCTGGTGGTTTACTTTGATTTTTACTTTCTTTTTGAGATGGGATCTTGCTCTGTTGCCCAGGCTGGAGTGCAGTGGCATGATCATAGCTCATTGCAGCCTTGATTCTCCCAGGCTCACGCGACCCTCCCTTCTTAGCCTCCCCAGTAGCTGAGATCACAGACACACGCCACTATGCCCAGCTAATTTTTAAATTTTTTTGCAGAGACGGGGGATCTCACTATGTTGCCCAGGCTGGTTTTGAACTGCTGAGCTCAAACACTCCTTCTGTCTTGCTCCAAAAGAGCTGGAGTTACAGGCATGAGCTACTGTGCCCAGCCCTTGGTTTATATTTTTAAAGCCACTTTTACCCGTATTCTTTTCTTTAAAGTTGTGGCTCAATACATATAACATAAAATTGATCATTATTGGCATTTAGTACAATTGGAACAGTGTGCAGCCATCAGCACTATCTAGTTCCAGAACATTCTCACGCTCCCAAAGGAAATCCTGCACTCACTAGTTGTACCGAGAGCCATTGTTATCTCCCTAGACCACACACACGATGTGTCCCTGAACACGAGGCCTTGCTCTTCTCCCCATAAGGGGGGCTGTTTCAAAAAATGCTAATTTGAATGTGTAAGCTTGTAAGGCAATAATGTTAGTTTAGTGATATATATATATATATGATTTAAATCACACACTATATAAAATAATATTTTAAAATACTGCTTTTCCCGACTTTCCCAATTATGAAACATTCATTTCACATGAAACATTATGTTTACCCCCATCTTTGACATCCATGTCCTTCTGGTCACTAGAACCCTTTGTGTATTGATTCTTCATGTTTGGCAAATATCATTGTCACCACAGTCAAGAGAGGTAGCTGCTGCTTCCTTTTTTTTTTTTTTTTTTTTTTGAGATGGAGTGTCGCTCTGTCACCAGGCTGGAGTGCAGTGGCACGGTCTTGGTTCACTGCAAGCTCCACCTCCCGGGTTCACGCCGTTTTCCTGCCTCAGCCTCCCAAGTAGCTGGGACTACAGGCGCCCGCCATTACGCCTGGCTATTTTTTTTGTATTTTTAGTAGAGACAGGGTTTCACCATGTTAGCCAGGATGGTCTCGATCTCCTGACCTCGTGATCCACCTGCCTCGGCCTCCCAAAGTGCTGGGATTACAGGCATGAGCCACCGCGCGCCGGCCTAGCTGCTGCTTCTTAATCCACGAGGTGTTTGTTTATTTTTTAATAACAGTTTTTTTGAGATATAATTAAAATACCATAAAATTCACCCATTTAAAGTGTGCAATTTGGTGAATTTTAGTATATTCACACATCTGTGCAACACCACACCATCTAGTTCCAGAGCTCTCTTATCCCCTCTAAGGGAAACTCAGTGATCATTAAGCAGTCACTTCCCATCCCTCCCTTCCGCCACCCCACAACCACTAATCTACGTCTGTCTCTATAGATTTGCCTGTTCTGCATATTCCATATCAATGGGATCATGCAATGTGTAGGAAAAACCGCAAACTGTTTTTCTCTGCTCTCACTCCACAACAATCAACACGGAAGACTTCTGTGACCCCCAAAGATGTGGGGATTTCTCCCGACCCACAAGCAAGCAGTCAGTTCTGCAGCAGAGATCAGCTGGGTGCCTTCTAATTCGATTGAGACACCATCCACCTGGAGACAGCTCAGATCCCACACGTCGAGGGCTCAGTCCCCAACACTGGCCCGCAATGTCAATGCCGATCACAAGTCCTAGGTTGTTTTACCTGTGCTTCTAACCCACTGGCTATAAATTGGAATTGGGGTACCCATGACTCCTCCTTGGGTTCGACTACCTTACTAGAATGGCTCACAGAACTCAGGGAAACACTGGTTTACTAGCTTATAAGAGATAGTGTAAGATACAGGTGACAAGATGCATACAGCAAGGTTTGGGAAGGGGCACGGAGCTTTCATGCCTTCCTTGGGCTCATCACCCCTCAGGAACCTCCAATGTTCTGCTATTTAGAAACTCTTCAAAACCTGTCCTTTTTGGTTTTTATGGAGGCTTCCTCATGCAGCATGATGGATTAATCCAGTGGTCACTGGTGATCAACTTAATCTTTAGCTCCTCTCCTGTCCCTGGAGGTTTGAGAGGTGGGGCTGAAAGTCCTAATCCTATAAAGCCTGCCTTTGCCTTCCTGTGATCAGCCCCATCTTGCAGGTACCTAGGGGCTGCCAGCCACCGGTCATGCAAAAGGCATCATTTTGCAGATTCCAAGTATCTTAGGAGTTGTATTCCAGGAAATAGGATTGAAGACCAAATACACATTTTACATATCACCTTCAGTACGTGGCTTTTTACCACTGGCTTCTGGTACTTTGCAGAATGCTTTCTAGGTTGCCCCATGCCGTAGCAAGTGTCAGCACCTCAGTCCTTTTTATGGTGGAATCATGTTCCGTTGTAAGGATTTACTGCCTTTTGTCCATCCATTCATCAGCTGATGGACATTTGTTTGGACAAAAGGCTGTTTCCGCCCTTTGGATCTTGTGAATAGTACCCTGATTCTTTTATTGATCACTCTTTGCAGTATGATTATCCCCATTTTACAGATGACCACTGAGGCAAAGCAATGGGGACCTCCGTCCCATCCTGTGCCCTCCTTTGTCCGGCAGGTCAGGGCTGGTCTTAGGGCAGAGTCGCTGGCTGACTGGAGAAAGAGGAAGAAGCTGATTCCTCAATAAGCCAGGGAGAGCCCAGGAGCACTTAACTGCTGAGAAGCCTGCTGAGGGCCTTTTGCTCACATTTCAAGCCTGTGTAGAACGTGAGAAACAGAAATATGCCTGTGTCAAGGATACACGACCCTAAGAGCCCTTTCTTGGGCTTGCTCAGGTTTGGTGGCGAGAGGAACCTCACAGAATCCAGCAGCAGCTCTGCTGGGGACACGGTCCGAGGTGCAACCCACAGTGAAGCCCTGACCTGACCTCCTGATGCTCAGGGGAAGCCATGGGCCCCTCCCGTCCTGCGTTCCTGTCCTTCACAAAGCTCAGTTTGTGGTGGCTCCTTCTGACCCCAGCAGGTGAGTGCTTGTCACCTGTCATTGTAAGACTTCATCTCACGCCTGTCGGCTCACAAACTGTAGGAAGGAGTCCGCAGGTGGACTCGTTGCAACTGTCAAAGCTGCAGGGGACTTCAGAGGCCATCAGCCGGGTGGCTGGTTCCACTGGGAGAGGTGGAGGGGCGGTCACAGCTCTGACGTTAGCATCTGTGTCACCTTAAATGTCCCCAAGTTTCAATGTCCTCAGCTGCAAAATGCAAATAGTATTGTGTACCTCCCAGGCCTATTGTGAGGATTAAACGAAAGTTTGTGACCAGAATCCGGGATACAGGAGGCACTCGGGATGCAGCGCTTTCTGTCCCAGATGGTGCTGACACGTTTTTCTGGGATTTGGAGCTGTAGTTCTCGACTTGCTCGGACAGCAGAGCCCTGAAGGGCTGAAGCTGTTTGCTGAACACAGTGAAAACTGACATGAGCGATGTCATAGAAACGTTTCGAAAAGCTTTGTTTATCTGATAGGAAGTGGCAAATGCCCATGGTTTAAGAAAAAATTGGGGAGGATCCCAAAGCGGTCTATTTCCCTGTTAGCATTAATGGTTCATCCGACAAGTGGGTGGGAACGGGAGACCGCTGACCCTGGCTAGGCTCACTGCAATGCCGGAACCCTTCTCCCTGCAGCCCCCGACTTAGACCAGGCATCTCATCCACTTCCCTGTCCCCGCAGGGGCTCCTCCATATGGGGCTGAATCTTGTCTCTAGATTCAAGTTTCCCTACTTCCCTGCCTCTGCCCCTTCCCCTCGACCCCTGCAGCACTAGTTCCCACTCCTTTCTTCTCTAACATCACAAAGCAGTTGACCTTTCCTGAGCTCCGACGACCCCACAGCCTACTCATGCTGTGCTCAGCTCTGATAGACATTATCATCTGCCATCTTCAACAGTGTTTTGAGATAGGTTCTGGATAAGCATCTCCATTTTACAGATGAGCAAACTGAGGCTCAGTGAGGCTGAGTGGTTCTGATTTGATAGCAGGTGGAGAGGAAGCCAAGCGCCCACCTCCCAGGGCTCCTGGAGACCCCCTCGCCTCTCCCAGTCCCACGGCGTTGCCGCAGGGAGGATCCCATACCCAGGCTGAGGACCGGCTCTTCAAACACCTCTTCCGGGGCTACAACCGCTGGGCGCGCCCGGTGCCCAACACTTCAGACGTGGTGATTGTGCGCTTCGGACTGTCCATCGCTCAGCTCATCGACGTGGTGAGCCTGTCCTCCCACCCCTGGCCCCGGGGAAGGAGATCCTAGACCACCCACCACTTCCCGCCCCCCCCAACCGCTTCCCCCCCCCCCCCCCACTTCCTCTACCCCAGCCCAGCCCTCACGCACAGCAGTGACCTGGAGTGGGGGCGGGGACGGCTCTTCCCGGGGCTGCTACACTCTTCCCTCTCCCAGCTCTGGAGCTGCCTCCTAGGAGGGCGTTGATTGGCAGCAGTGCTTGTGCGATCCTGGAGAATCTGCGTAAGGGTGGGGTTTCAGAGCGGATGGTGGGCGGGATGGGCTTGGGGTGTCCTATCAGAGGGTCTGAAACAGCCCATCCCACTCCACCCGGTCTTCTGGGACTGGGCCAACCCCTCTAATTGCTCCTGTCTGTCTCTGGGCCAGGATGAGAAGAACCAAATGATGACCACCAACGTCTGGCTAAAACAGGTGAGGGCCCCTCCTCCAGTCCAGGCAGGAGCCTACGGGGAATCCATGGACCCCAGACCCCCCTAGGACTTCTTCGCTAGTGAAAGACCAAGGAACAGCAAGACCCTGAACTTAGTTTACTAAGCAGATGCCACATGGGATGTTCCCAAAGCTGACTTTTTCCACAGGGCCTGTGTTCTTGGTAGCTAGACTTGAGTCTAGTGCCTGAGAAGGTCGCCTCAGGCACTAGAAAGCCACGTGGTGCTTTCCTGGGAGCAGGCATCCATTCATCCCTGCTACTTCGGAATCCTCCCCAAAGCCCGACGGGGGGTTCATTCTGTCCATTTTACAGCTCAGGAGAGCAGGAAGCAGAGAGCAGCTGGGCTGGAAAACGGGGCCCAGCTGTGCCTGACTCCGAGCCCCAGGCTCCTACGAGAGAGCGCTGAGTGCTTAATGTCTATGCTGCCACCCAAATACCCCCAAACTTACAGGCTCACAGCAGCTCCTAGCTCACTGTATCTTATGGCTTTATGGCCAGGAGTTTGGGTGGTTTCTTCTGCTTCACATGGTGACCACTAGGGTTACTTGGTGGTATTTGAGTGAGGGTTCATCTGGTCTGGAGGGTCTAAGACAGCTTAATTCACACATATGTCCCTTAGCGGGGATGTCCGGAAGGCTCTGGAAGGTGCTGGAAGGCTGGACTCAGATGGGCCCCTCGTCCCCTTCAGGCACCCTCAGGGTCTCTCCAGCAGGGGAGTCAGACTTCTTGCCTAGTGGTTCAGGGATTCCAGAGTGAGGGTCCCAAGAGACAGGGAGTAAAAGAAACTGGGCCAGCATTGATCTTGTTGTATACTACTGGTCAAGACAGTCATAGAACCCAGTTAGACTCAGGAAACGACGCACAGATCCCGCTTATGTCGGAGTCTTCCCTCCCTCTGATGCCATAATCCAGGAGCTATTAGGGGTCACTTGGCTCATCTTTACGGATGTGACAGCTGAGGGTCGGAGGGAAGCAGGAACTTGCAAGCTACCCAGCCATGTGGTGTGTGTGTGTGCAGGGAGGCAGGACTAGAACTTGGGTTGACCCAATTGTCTCCATGGGCTGGTCACCTGGGCTTCAGGGTTGAGGTGGCAGGGCAAGGAAGGAGTACTGGAGTATGAGTCAGGCCAGTCAGCAATGCCTCTGATTAGCTTGTGATACTGGGTGAGCTACGTAACCTCTCAGAGCCTCAGTTTCCTCATCTGCAAAATGAGGATAACGCAGTCTACTACCACATGCCTGGGAGGATTAATGTACCCCAATTTGGTGTGGGTGCCTCAAAATGTTGGTTGGACCTGAAAACTTGACAGATGGACTACAGAGAGAATACGAACCTGATGGAGGCAGGGGGACTGACTTGGACCTGCCTTGGTGGAGGCCTTGGTGGAGGCAGGGCTCCCATCCCATCTCTGGTGGAACTCCTGTAGGGCACTTGGGAGTGCAGTTTGCAGGTCCCAGGGTAACTCCCCTGCCTCACTATATGCCTCTGGCAGGTTGATTTTCCTGTCTCTGGTCCTCAGTTTGCTCATCTGCTAAATGGGGGAGATGCTTTCACCTGCTCTGCATTCCCTGCTTAGTTGTCCTGTGGAGTCTTTTCCTAGATGGAGAGTATAAAACAAACCATAAACTGTGATGCACTAAAAATGAGAGACTTCACTAGAGATGAGTGAGGTGGCCCACCAAGGTCATCCAGCCAGGGATTGGCAGAACAAGGACTAGAGGCAGGACAAGGGTGAACTTCATGTGCCCAGGACCTTGACTACTAAAGTCCAGGCAAAGTGAGAAGGTTGGTTACTTGCTCAGAGCCCGTTCCCAGCACTGCAGCTCCTTCCACTATTCTGGGCTGGGTGGGGAGCCCTGGCTGCTCCAAGGGGGCTGCTTGGCCCAATTCTGGGCATCCCTGGGGTGTGCTAGCTTTGCCCTAGGCTGCTCCCTGAAAACGAGGTTGATACAACTTCCTCCCCATGCACAGGAGTGGAGCGACTACAAACTGCGCTGGAATCCCGCCGATTTCGGCAATATCACATCTCTCCGGGTCCCTTCTGAGATGATCTGGATCCCTGACATTGTCCTCTACAACAAGTAGGAAGCCATTGGGGTCCTGGGGGGATGAGGGGAGGCCAACTGGCAGGGGCTGGGTCCATGGTCTTGGGAGGGGCACCCCTGGTGTCAGCTTCCTTGCCTCCTTCTCGACTGCTTTGCTGAGCATGTCTCCCCCACCTCTCTCTTTATTCTTTCATTTCTTTCCTTTTGTTCTCACTCTACACCAAAATGAATGGCAGCTGAGCACCTGTTAGGTATCGGTGCCTGGCAGTGTGCTAGAGGAACAGAGATTTGTCAATACGGAGTATTCTTTGAGAAATGTGGTGCAGGCTCTAAAAACAATGCCTTGGGGTTGAAGTTGTGAGGGGTGGCAGTGTTGGTCAGACAGGCAGGCAGCATCGGCCAACACCTTCAAAGGCCATGCACTTCCTTGGTGTGCAGTTTCCTTTTTCCCAATCACGTTATTTTGTAGTTGTCTTCAAGACTAAAAAGGAGTAATCTTTGACTGCAATGTCAAGAAGTTAATAGAAGGTAGAGGAGTCTAAAGAGAGCCCCAGTGGACAAAAATAAATCAACAAAAAATATTTTGATGGAATAAATAGACATCTATAATTTCATTTCTGTATTTGGCATCAGGCAATTCTTCCCTTAGAAGTTAAGAAGTTAAAATGAAAAGATGTTTGGTGTTACGTTCATCTAAAAATGTTTTCTAAGGTGGGGCTATAGAGCATGGCTTCTTTGAGTTATAAATAGGTATGAAAAAGAGTTCTGTGGTCAAGGAATTTTGGATAACATTGTATGTAACACCCACCCCCATCCTCGCCCAAGTCTTTTGGAAAATGGGAGAGCACAATAGCGTTTTAAAAATGTTATTAGAAGTCCTGCAGCAAAGACATCCACCCAGCCCAGCATTTCCCAATTCATTTGATCCTACTTTGGAAATGCTATTTTTAAAGAAAGAAATAAAAGAAAAAATGACCCATTTCTGGACTGCTTGTCTTCAGACGGGTCAGATGTTTTTTTTTTTACACTGTCCAGTTCTGGTCAGAACTGAGCCCTTTCACCTAAGCCACTTTGGTGAACACGTGTTCTTCCTGAGTTCTCACACTGGCAGCTCTCACATCTCAGGTGCCTAGTGTTTGCAGCTGCTGCGGGACTCACGAACTCCCCACCCTGTCATATCTCTGTGCCCCATAGCTGGCACCCAGGATCCTCTGGTTTCTGTTTTCTTTAGGGGTGGCAGAGGTCAGGAGCAAAGTCCTACATCAACTATGACTTTGAGTTTGAGGATTACCCAATAAGACTGCAGCCAGTGTTACTTGATTAATTACAAGAATTTTTTTTTGGAGGGGGGTACAAAATTCCAAGCCAGAGTCCTGCTGACATTTAGAAAAGGGTCCCCTCCACCCAGATACCCCACTCAAGGTTAACAGGAAGGCGTCAAAGAGTTTGCCAGGTTCCTTCCCCCAAATGAGCACATGTTGCCATCTAGTGGTCGTTGTGTGTGATAAACAAAATGCTTTAAAACAATTGTGTTTTTGCCTGGACGCGGTGGCTCACGCAGTACTAATCCCAGCACTTTGGGAGGCCGAGCAGGCGGATTACGAGGTCAAGAAACTAAGACCATCCTGTCTAACATGGTGAAACCCTGCCTCTACTAAAAACACAAAAATTAGCCGGGCATGGTGGTGCGTGCCTGTAGTCCCAGCTACTCGGGAGGCTGAGGCAGGAGAATCGCTTGAACCCTAGAGATGGAGGTTGCTGTGAGCCGAGATCACACCCCTGCACTCCAGCCTGATGACAGAGTGAGACTCCACCTCAAAAAAGAATTTTTTTTTTTTTTTTTTAACTTTTGTCTCAGTGTATTTGTTACTCCCTTACAAAGTTCCTATTTCCAGCCTGCCTGTATCTCTACCATGGAACTACTTCATGGGGGAATAAGGCTCCCTGTTCCCAAGCACTCAGTTCTGATTTCTTGGATTTTAGAGTTGGCTGTGGGAATTAGAGGGGGAGGGAGGATGGTTAAAGGCTAGAGCAGGAGCCCACTGAGCCACCTCCTGGTGGAATCAGGGGTGAGGCTTCCAGGAAGTGCTGCCTGACTGGTCACCACTATTCCAGTGTCCCCAGACTCCTTGTGGGCCCTTGAATGCCTAGTCCCATGATACCCCGATTCACACTCTCTGTCCCTGTGCGAGCCTCTACCGGAAAGCTCTCTGCCCACGTCTCAGCCAAATGCTGCCATCAGTCAAGGCCTTTTGCAAATGGCAGGCTTCTCGATGACCCTGCTCACCTCCCAGATTTTCCCCCAAAGGGCCCGGGGAGCACCCAGACCGCCCTCCTAGTGTTGCCAGCTGCCTCCCTGATGTTGCAGTGGTTCCTGGAGACATCTCATCTCCTCATGGCTCCTTAAGGGCAGGGACCTTTCTCATATTCCTCTTCTGCACAGCTCTGGTACAGGCCCTAGTGGATGAGGGGCTCAAAAACGCATGTTAAATGGATACATTCAAGGGAGTATCTTCACCCGCAAAGAAATTAGGTCTCTTCTGAGCAAGGATGATCCCAGGTGGAAAGGGATCGCCCTCCTGAGGGGCCAACTCATCATCTGCTAGGGAAGAAAAACAGACTCATAGATATCACTCTAAAATATTAAATGTTCAGCGCACAGGAGGACAGCTTTGACCCACTGCGATATCATCTCTGCCCAGCCAATCAGCAGCAAGCACCTGGCCACACCCACCCCTTCCCCAAAACTGCCTTTGAAAAACCCCTAACCTGCGAAGTTTGGAAGAGCTGCTTTGAGCGCTATCTCCATCTCCCCTGTGGCATGGCTGGCCTTGTGTCTATTCAACTCTTTCCTTACTGCAAATGAAATAAAATATTAAATGACTAAAAATAGGCAATCAAATGACATATACCCCATGATCACAAATATATATGATTGTCATATATTGATAATGTATACATATTCATTTTACATTTTATATACACATATTTATCATCAAAATGTTATTAATGGTTGTTTTCAGAATTCTTGGTACTTCTCTCTATTCCTCACAATTCCTCCTTTTGTATTTAAGAAGGTAGTAATTGACAAGACAGCTCAGTGGCTATAAATGTGTGTGCCGGGGGAGACTTACACACTTCTATAAATAAACCCCACCAGGGTGGCCGGGTCTGACTTGGTTCTTGGGGTTCCCCTGCTGCCAGCTCTCTGAGTAGCTTGGCTCAGGCAGGTGGGTGTGCAGGGGTCTCCCCAGCTCCTCTCCTCTCCCCAGTGCAGATGGGGAGTTTGCAGTGACCCACATGACCAAGGCCCACCTCTTCTCCACGGGTACTGTGCACTGGGTGCCCCCGGCCATCTACAAGAGCTCCTGCAGCATCGACGTCACCTTCTTCCCCTTCGACCAGCAGAATTGCAAGATGAAGTTCGGCTCCTGGACTTATGACAAAGCCAAGATCGACCTGGAGCAGATGGAGCAGACGGTGGACCTGAAGGACTACTGGGAGAGTGGCGAGTGGGCCATTGTCAATGCCACGGGCACCTACAACAGCAAGAAGTATGATTGCTGTGCCGAGATCTACCCTGATGTCACCTACGCCTTTGTCATCCGGCGGCTGCCACTCTTCTACACCATCAATCTCATCATCCCCTGTCTGCTCATCTCCTGCCTCACCGTGCTGGTCTTCTACCTGCCCTCCGACTGCGGCGAGAAGATCACACTGTGCATCTCGGTGCTGCTATCGCTCACCGTCTTCCTGCTGCTCATCACCGAGATCATCCCGTCCACCTCGCTGGTCATCCCGCTCATCGGCGAGTACCTGCTGTTCACCATGATCTTCGTCACGCTGTCCATCGTCATCACCGTCTTCGTGCTCAATGTGCACCACCGCTCCCCCAGCACCCACACCATGCCCCGCTGGGTGCGGGGGGCTCTTCTGGGCTGTGTGCCCCGGTGGCTTCTGATGAACCGGCCCCCACCACCCTTGGAGCTCTGCCACCCCCCAGGCCTGAAGCTCAGCCCCTCTTATCACTGGCTGGAGACCAATGTGGATGCCGAGGAGAGGGAGGTGGTGGTGGAGGAGGAGGACAGATGGGCGTGTGCAGGTCACGTGGCCCCCTCTGTGGGCACCCTCTGCAGCCACGGCCACCTGCACTCCGGAGCCTCAGGTCCCAAGGCTGAGGCTGTGCTGCAGGAGGGTGAGCTGCTGCTGTCACCCCGCATGCGGAAGGCACTGGAAGGCGTGCACTACATTGCCGACCACCTGCGGTCCGAGGATGCCGACTCTTCGGTGCGTCGGGGTTGGGAGAGGGGCCAGCCTAGGTGACCCCATCTACTTAGCGGGGAACCACCTTACCACAGAGTGTGAGCTTGGGCAGCCCAGGCCCCTCCCGTGAGGACCCACTTCCCTCAGTCATGGTCCTTAGAAGTATGGAATAAATAGCGAGAGAGCACATGTAGCTGGCCCCTCTGAGGACATTTATTGGCAGGTGGCAGTTTACACACCATGGGGTCAGGCATGAGCAGCTCAGCCTAATAGGGAGCCTGAGAGCCAGAGAGGGAGGACCCCAGATGCTGAACCCCATGCCTCCCTCAGGCCGCCAGCTCCCACCATTGCCTTGGAGGTGGCGGGAAGCAGGGGGAGCATTTCAGGAGAGACCTAGAAAGTCAGCTGCTGCAGCGTCAGCCTTTGTCTTTTGTCTTGGATGGTCTCTTCCTCTGCTTTCTTGTTAATGGACTCTTGAGGATCTTGCAAACTTCACTCTTCAACCACAAACCCTGCAGATTCTTGGTTGTGCCAGGTGGACTCCGCTCCCCCCTCCCCCGCCATGGCATTGGCCACACCCTGACCCCTGCCCCAGCCCCTGTCTGCCATTATTACATGAGCCGGCCACTACTCTAGCACAGGCCTCCTCCTGATGGAGCCAGGCACAGGGAACAGGGTTCCTGGGGAGGAAGGAGGGCGGAGGGAGGGAGGGAGGACAGGCCGAATGAGATGAGTTTGAGTTGGGTCAGGGCCACTACTCTACCACTACTCTTACCAGCCTAGGGAAGGATGAAAGGCTGGGAGGTTATTATGAGTGGCCTTGATGAATAGATAAGGAAATTAATTATGATGTCATCCAGGAGCAGTGAAGAATCCAGGCTCCATTGTCTGGGCTGTGAGCCCAAGTTCTACAAAGCCCCTGCCCCACCCCCAGCCTGCCAGGGGTCCCAGCCACCTTCGCCTGTTTCCCTCTCCCCAACTCCAGCAGGTGGGTGAGGAGGCAACCTGTGGGCAGCAAAGTCCGGTGTTGCATTGAAGTCACTGCAGACTCCCTAGAAGGGCCCATGCCCCTGGGTGGTCCTGCGGCCTCCTTGCGTCCCTCTAGCTTCCTTTACCTATAGTCTGGGAGCAAAACATGGACATGTGGAGGGGCTGGGATGGGAGGGGAATCATCAGGGGAGCCTTGAAACTGCCCGTCCCTCCCCTCCACCCACCCCGCTCCGTGCGCTGACCTTTGCTCCCCAAGGTCTCTGTGGGGCAGTTACTGCTGCCCCCAGTGGCCATCTGTGCAGGGGCTGTGCATGGGGGGAACCCATCCCCTTTCCTGGGCCTGGCCCCCGTCACTGTGTGCTGTCTTCCCCACAGGTGAAGGAGGACTGGAAGTACGTCGCCATGGTCATTGACAGGATCTTCCTCTGGCTGTTTATCATCGTCTGCTTCCTGGGGACCATCGGCCTCTTTCTGCCTCCATTCTTAGCTGGAATGATCTGACTGCACCTCCCTCAAGTTGGCTCCCAGGGCACCCCCACTGGCTATCTGTTGACCATCTCTGCTGCAGCTGCCTCTAGTGTCCTCTTTGGGGTGAGCAGGTGTCTCTCTGCGGAGTCTGGACACTGACCCAGGCATTGCAGGCTTCCATCCAGTTCAACATTATTGTACCAGGGCTGAGAGCCTGCTGGGTGCAGACTCCTGTTTTGGATACTGAGGAGCTAGGGAAGCTCTGCAGAAGGTCACAATAGTGTGGTGACCAAGTGGGGCACAGTAAGATTCTCCTGGAGGAGCAGTGCAGACCCTAAGTCACAGAAGGGTCAACCAGGGGGACAGTGGGGCCAGGGTGACGAGGAAGGGAATGCAGACCTCAAAGGAGGGGTCATGGGGGCAAAGGGGAGGGTTCCTTGGGGGTGGAAGGGCTCTGAACAATGTTTAGACTTGGGAATGAGCCCGAAGTGCCAGGGAGAACAGCCAGGTGAGGTAGGAGGTTGGAGAGCCAGGTGGGGTCTCTCTAAGCCAGGCTGGGGATGAAGTTCAGAGTCTGTCCGAGTTGCAGGGTGCTGAGCTGTATGATCCAGCAGGGAAGTAATAAGGGCTCTTCCGGAAGGGGAGGAAGCGGGAGGCAGGGCCTGTACCTGAGGTGGAGGTGCAGGGCAGATCTTCCCTACTGGGGAGGGACGGATTGTTGGATACAGGTGGCTGGGCTATTCCATCCATCTGGAAGCTCATTTGAGCCTCCAGGCTTCTCCTTGACGTCATTCCTCTCCCTTCCTTGCTGCAAAATGGCTCTGCACCAGCCGGCCCCCGGAGGTCTGGCAGAGCTGAGCCATGGCCTGCAGGGGCTCCATATGTCTGTACACGCGCAGCGGGCAAACGAGAAAGACCATCCTGAGCTGCTCCTGACCCAACTCAAACTCATCTCGTTCGGCCTGTCCTCCCTCCCTCCCTCCCTCCGCCCTCCTTCCTCCCCAGGAACCCTGTTCCCTGTGCCTGGCTCCATCAGGAGGAGGCCTCACTTGGGAGTTGAAGATCTCTGCCTTTAGTTCCTTTGATTCTGAACTTCTCAAGGGCAGGACCACTGCCTGTTATTTTTCCCATCCCCAGCACCTAGCACAGCACCGGGTGAGTGGATCAGCACTTAAGGCATTTGTTCTGAGTGGCTGAGGGGAGCAAGCTGGATTGTTTGGGCCCCAGGACTGCTGCGTAGATGGCAAAGCTGTGGTCCTGTCCCTTATCAGCCTGGCCCGTCTCTCCCAGAGCCCCAGGGTGTGTTGACCTGCTCTGAACCCCTCAGAGCCGCCTGTGTGTGCACTTTGGAATGCACCACCCCAAAGCCTGAGGCTGCACCCGGGATCCCAGGCCTAGCTGCTGCTCCTGGGATCGGGCACCAAACCTCTCCCCAGCTCTGTCCAGACCAGAAGGTGGGACCTTGGCAGCTAACAGATGTGGGCACTGGGTTCTTGGGACAGTGTGGAGGCTCCAGGCAGGAAGCCGACCAGGGCGAGCTTCCAGTTTCCTTTTGGTCCTAGGGGTCCCCTCCTTCCAAACCCTGAAATCTCTCTCCCTGACACTCCCAGCCTGCCTGTGACACCCTGGCCCACGCCCCGCCACGCCTCATTCCTCTCCCACTACCCCCTGCTCATGGCGCATCTGGTTTCTGTCTCCTGTCTACTCCCATGCATGCAGCCCCCAGCCTCCCCTCTCCTCCCGCTTGCTCTCCGGAGGCCTCAGAGCTCTCAGGTCCAGACTCCCAGACCCACTGTCCTGAGACAGTGATGTTCACTCCTGTTATCCACATCTCCCATCCGTCTTGCATGTGAATAAAGAGATTAAATAAAGCTGCACCTACTGCTCACTCGACTGTGTGGCCCCCTCCTTGCCAGCCACACTTCAACATCGCCAGTGTCACCCAAGCCCCTCCAGAAGCTGGGTGGTTTGGGGGCCCACTGGGAGAGAAATGACATAGCATTCCTCATGTGGCCATGGAGGGGACTGCTCTGGGTCCCTCCTGGAAAGTCGCCCCCCACGGCCCCTGCAAGGGCAAAGAGGCCAGCACACACCCCTGACCCACTGCCGGGCATCGCCGTTTGTCTCTCCTTGGCCGACGCCCAGCGCTGGACAGCCCTTGATCTCCGTCCAACATGAACACAATCGGTTTCTTCCAAGGCTTGGCTCACAGTCCCCATTCTCCCACAAAGGGCGGGTCAAACAAACAAAATAAACCGCAAAGCAAATGGGACAATTTTAATTCAACCACAAGTCAAATAGAAAGAAGTTAAAAGAATGTTTATGCAAACACGCGAGAAAATGGGGTGCAGATGAGAACGGGGGTCGGTGGGAGAAAAAGGAGGAGTAAGAAAAGAGGGAAAAGAAGAAAGGGAAAGTAAAGGAAGAAAGAGAAAGAGGGGCAGGAAGAGAGTGGATTTGGCCCAAGGTCCTATCTTGGCCGCCATCTCTCTGCTTCTTCCCTCTGATGCTTGGTTTGTTGACAACACAGCATCCTGTGCCTGGACTCCCAATTAGGTTGTTCCTGGACTATGCCCCAGGTCCTCCCTCAGGAGGGCACATGCTGTCAGTCCAGACCAAACTCACATTAAATAAATTCCAATATACACTGTACAAGAATGCCAGGCCCATCCCTCATCTCACTGGCTGCTTGACCCCCAAAACAAAGCTTCTCCCCAGCTTCTCTGTGCATCAGGGGACATCTGAGGGCCGAAGAGGAAGGAAAAGGAATAGCTTGGTTCCCAAATCGGCCTGCCATGTCCATATACAAAGCTAGGGGCACCGTGTGACACTCCCCCACCCCCAGGAGCCCCCTGCGTGGACCAGGCTGGCATAGGGAAGAGTGGCCAGGCAGCAGCAGTGCCCCCTCCGAGCCATCTCTGTCACCCTCACCCTGTGTCCATAGCCCAGAGTCCCCTCTGTCCAGCTGCAGCCTGAGCAGTACAGCATGGGGTAGGGGTGGGGAGAGGGGGTCGTGCAAAGTGGCAAGGGAAGGTGACTCCCCTCGGCCTTCCCCCTGGAAGACCCACATGACCAACAGCAAGGCAGGGGAGGTACATGGCAGGCAGGGGCGGAAGATGCAGGCAGGTGGCCCCCACCCTCCGTCACTCTGCAGGCGGGTGGGCCAGATTGGCCAGAACCTTGGCCTGGTCCACAGCGTCGAGCAGGTTCTTGGCGTCCACGGCCAGGGTGTGTGAAGCCGTCAGCATCTGCCTCTTGCACTCCTCACTCAGGGAGGTCACGGCGTTCTGCTGCGCCAGCCGCATCTTGTTGATGAGCTCTGCCAGGTCTTTGTTGAGCAGTTTCTGGGTGCCCTCGATCTGTAGGAAGATCACACAGGACAGGTTGAGGGGCCACAAAGTCTACGCCTGGAGGATAGGGAAGCCACAGAGGTGTCCATTTGCATGCTGGCCAAGGCAATCAGAAGTTCCCTGGAAGCAAATCAGACAGGAGTGGGCTGAATGCAACACCCCATGCAGTGTGGAGTCAGGTCTACAAGGACTCACATCTCAGACCCCAGCCGACCCTGTGTAGGTCCAGCCTGACCATCCCTTCATGGAAACATCCTCTTATGCTTTCTAAAATGCGAATCTGATCTTTTTTTTGAGACTGAGTTTTGCTCCTGTCGCCCAGGCTGGAGTGCAGTGGTGCAATTTCAACTCACTGCAACGTCCGCCTCCTGGGTTCAAACAATTCTCCTGCCTCAGTCTCCTGAGTAGCTGGGATTACAGGCACTTGCCACTATGCCTGGCTAATTTTTGTATTTTTAGTAGAGATGGGGTTTCACCATGTTGGCCAGGCTGGTCTCAAACTCCTGACCTCAGCTGATCCTCCCACCTCGGCCTCCCATAGTGCTGAGATTATAGGCGTGAGGCACTGCTCAGCCATCCACTGAAGCCTTGAACTTCTCAAAATCATCCATGAGGGTTGGAATCAACTTCTTCCAAATGGTTAATGATATTTTGACCTCTTCCCATGAATCACAAATGTTCCTAATATTATCTAGAATGGTAAATCCTTTCCAAAATATTTTCAATGAACTTTAGTCAGATCCGTAAGAGAAATCACTATCTATGGCAGCCATGGCCTTAGAAATGTATTTCTTAAGAAAGTAGAAATTACTCCTTGATCCATGGGCTGCAGAATGGATACAGTGAAAACATTAATTTCCTTCTATATCTCCATCTGAGCTCTTGAGTAGAGGTATTGTCAATGAGTAGTAATACTTGAAGATAATCTGTCTCTCTTTTTTTTTTTTCTGAGCAGTAAACCTCAACAGTGGGCTTATGATACTCAGTAAAACATGCTGTAAACAGATGTGCGGTCATCAAGGGTTCATTGTTCCATTTATAGAGCATACGAAAAGTAGATTTAGGTTAATTCTTAAGGGACCTAAGGTTTTCAGAATGGCCAATGAGCACTGGCTTCAATCGGCATTAGCCCCTAACAAGAAAGTCAGCCTGTCCTTTGAAGCTTTGAAGCCAGGCATTGACTTCTCTAGCTATGAAGGTCCTAGATGGAATCTGCTTCCAATAGAAAGTCGTTCATCTACACTGAAAAATCTGTGGTTTAGTGGAGCCATCTTCATCAATGATCTTAGCTAGATCTTCTGGAGAACTTGCTGCGGCTTCTCCATCAGCACTGGCTGCCTCACCTTGCACTTTTATATCACAGAGGTGGCTTCTTTCCTTAAACCTCATGAACCAACCTCTGCTAGCTTCCAACTTTTCTGCTGCACCTCCCTGAACCTCTCTCAGCCTTCATAGAATTGAAGGCCTTGCTCTGGATTAGGTTTTGGGAAAAGAGGATGTTGTGGCTGGCTTGATCTTCTATCCAGACCACTCCAACTTTCTCCATATCAGCAATAAAGCTGTTTCACTTTCTTATCATTCATGTGTTCACCGGAGTAACTAACTTTTCCTTTGCATTCACAACATGGCTAACTGGGACAAGAGGCCTGTTTTTTGGCCTATCTTGGTTTTCAACATGCCTTCCTCATGCAGCTTAATCATTTCTAGTTTTTGATTTAAAGTGAGAGGTGGGCGACTCTTCCTTTTACTTGAACATGCAGAGACCACTGTAGGGTTATTAACTGGCCTAATTTCAATATTGTTGTGTCCCAGGGAAACGGGAGGCCCAAGGAGAAGATAGGGGATTGGATGGCCGGAGGAGCAGTCAGAACACACACAACATTCATTGATAAGTCTTCTGTGGGCACAGTTTATGATGGCCCCTCAAAATGATTACAATACTAACATGGCTGATCACCGATCACCAATCATCAACCATAACAGTTATAATCATACTGAAAACGTTTGAAATATTGTGAGAATTACCAAAATGTGAAGAGACACAAAGTGAGCACGTGCTCTTGGAAAAATGCCACCAATAGGCTTGCTCATTGTACGGTTGCCACAGATGTTCAATTTGTGAAAAATGAGATATCTGGGAAGTGCAATGAAAGCAAAGTGCAATAAAATGAGGTGTGCCTGTTCGTAGCTGGTGCCCAAGAGGTATTTACAAATGAAGTAGATGAATGAATGAATGGGTTGGCATCCCAAGGGTAAGGAGCTCTTAACTGAGATGAGACAGCCCCACGGCCCCACCTAGGGCTCCTGCATGGGTTGTCACTGCCCCTGAGAGAGAGGCCAGGAATTGGCCCAAACTCTCCTGCCTTCTCCTGCCTTGGGCAGCCACTGACAGTAGGGACAGTGGCGGGATGTGGTAGTCATCTGTGCCGCAGGGCTGGCCGCTGGGAAGCAGGGGATCAAAGGGCTCCAGACGGACAATCAACAAACATCCCATGGCACTGTATTGTGTGCCTATGGCTTTGGCAACTAATTACCAGAAATTTAGTGGCACAAAACAACACGGATTTATTGTCTTATAGTTCTGAAGGGCAGAAGTCTGAAGTGGGTCCAACTGGGCTAAAGTCAAGGTGGCCACAGGGCTGGTTCTCCCTGGAGGCTCCAGAGGAGAACCTGTTCCTCGCCTTCTCCAGCTCCAAGAGGCTGCAGCCTTCCTTGGCCTGCGACCTCCTTCATCCATCACATCTGTCACTCTGACCGTGTGTATCTTGTCACACACTGCCTCCCCCTTGTTTTATTTATTTATTGTTTTGAGATAGGGTGTCGCTGCTGCCCGGGCTGGAGTGCAGTGGTGTGACCACGGCTCACTGCAGCCTCCACCTCCTAGGCTCAGTCTATCCTCCCACCTCAGCCTTCTGAGCAGCTGGGACTACAGGCACAGGCCACCACACCCAGCTAATTTTTGTATGGTTTTGCCATGATGACCAGGCTGGTCTCAAACTCCTGAGTTCAAGCAATTCACCTGCCTTGGCCTCCCCAAAGGTTGGCATTCTAGATGTGAGTTGCCACACCCAGCCAGTGTTGTCACAGAGATCCCTGTAAGATCAGGACCCCTGATCCCGGGATCTCTGTGACAACACTGGGCCCAGTCTGATAACTGAGCACAATCTCCCAATCTCAAGGTTCTTAACTTTATCACATTTGCAAAGTCTCTTTTGCCATGGAAGGGGGCATGTTTCCAGGTGCCAGGGCTTAGGATGTGGACATCTTTGGGGGCCTTTACTCTCCCTACCGCAGGTACTATCTTGTGGAGCACCAAGAGTCTTGTTTTGATTTTCAGTGATTGTTTCTCATTTAAATAAAGAAAATCAGATTAAATAATTAAAGAAACCTTAAGTGCTATTTCTATGACTCATCCATGTTAATCTTAACACAGACGGCAAGGCAACCAGACAAACGATAATAGGAGGGGGGAAAGGAAGGTGTGTCCCCTTTAGCACAACCTCAGTAAGAATTCACTGCCATCATCTGGAGACCTGAACTAGG